GGACGCAGCCCCTCAGACAGGGCTTCACTGGCTGTGAGTGGGGAGGCTGTAGAAAGCTTGCCAGGAGATCCTGAGGTGTAGCTGAAGCTGAGGAAAGATGGAAAGCCCTCATCTGATTGATGGTCTTGGGGTGACAGCCAGGGCCAGGTTGCTACTCACTTTTCGGCTAAAACACAGACTATTTCATCAGTACAGTCTCAATGGTGTGCAGCCACTGGCACAGCCTGGGTCCAGAACATTTCAACACCTCCAAAGGAATGGCAAAACCAGGAAGTAGTCACTCCTCATTCTCTCTCTTTGAAGCCCACCCCCCTCCCCCGGCAATCACCGTCTACTTTCCCTCTCTCGGAGTTGCCTATTCTGAACATCTCATGTAAACAGTTACAATATGTGCTCTTGAGTTGGCTTCTTTCACCTGGCACCAGGTTTTCAAGGTTCATCCACGCTAAACAATGTGTCTATACTTCATTCCTCTTTAGGGCTGAATAATATGCCATTCTGTGGATGTACAATCTGTTGATCCATTCACAGACTTGCATTTTCCTGTAACTTACACATGTGCCTCTGGTTACACTGCTATCCATCCTCTGGTATAAAATGAAATAAAACTCTGGTGTCTCTCCTACTGGGTTTTAGAAAATAAGCTGTGGATGGAGCTGAGAAGCAGCTGGTAGGAAAAGAAGATGAGAACAGACAGCCTGGAAGAGAAAGGGCTTGGGGCCTTCCCAGCTGATACTTGTAACAGGTTTTTCAGGAGAAAGGGAAAACTTCAAGTAATTCTGATCTTAGAGGCCTACTCCACACAAGGTGGTTTGTGTCTGGGTGTCCCCCTAAAGCCTCATGCGGTCATGGGGCGGGCTTCTAGAGTTTATGACTGATTCATGGTGCAATGCTGGGATTATGGGTGTAAGTGCTGCACCCGGCCTGGGGCGGGTAGTTTGCATACAGTGTAAGGGAGGGAAAGAGCCTGCTTGCTGCCACTTCTCCCCTTTTGCTCTTGTTGCTCTTGCTGTCTTCCACCACCGTGAACTGTTGCCCTCTGCCGTGTCCCACTCTGCCTTGCAGCCAGCTGAGTATGGACTGAAACCTCCACAAACTATGAGCTAAATAAACCTTTCCTTCCTTCACTTTGGGCGTCGGGTATTTTGTTTCAGCAATGAGAGAAAAGTAACCAAGACACGCCTATTGGACACTCACATGGCATAACTCATAGGTTCCTGAGATCAGACACGGCTGGAAAGGGAAGGAGATGAGCAAACAAATAATTTTTTAAAAATAATAACCAGCCGGGTGTGGTGGCACACACCTGTAATCTCAGCCCTCGGAAGGCTGAGGCAGGAGAATTGCAGCAAGTTCAAGGCCAGCCTGAACTGCATATTGAGACCCTGTCTCAAAAAACCAACACAACCAAAACAAAAACACAAACTCAGTATCTTTGCCTTCCCATCCTTGCTCGCAAACCTCTTCCACCTGCCCAGTCACAGCCACTCTGTCCTCTCCTCCTTCAGCCTCAGCTTCCATACCCTGAGGCACTGAGACTGGAACAGTTTTAGCCTTTTTAAAAAAGTGCCTAAACCGAGCGTGGTGGCACACGCCTGTAATCCCAACACTCCGGAGGCTGAGGCAGGAGGATCCTTGCAAGTTCGAGGCCAGCCTGGGCTCCAAAGTGAGCTCAAGGTCAGCCTGAACTGCATAGCGAGACCCTGTCTCAAAAAGAGAAATCAATCAATCAATCAATCAATCAATCAATAAAAAATAAAAAGATGCCCTTGGAAAAATTTTATTTTGAAAAATATAAATGTATGGAAAATTTATCAGAACAGCACAGTGACTTCTCATGTACTCTTTAGCAAATCACCAATAAACACTTAGCTACAGAATTTTCTGTCTCTATTATTATTTCTAAACAATTTGAGAGAAAGTTACAAACAAGATGCCCTGTCATATTTAAATACTTTAATACGTATCTCCTGAGGACAAGGACATTTTCTTACATAACTGCAATATAATGATCAAAGTCAGAAACTTTAACAAGTAACATAATAATGTCATACACAACTGATATTCAAATTTCTATGCCAGTCTCAAGTTTCCCCCATAGGTTATCTGTTATTTATAAAGGGGGAAATGGCAATGTCACAATGAAGAAAGCGATCAGATGCCACCTTAGCCACGTGATCAAAATTATCAGTCATGGGGGAAGTGACAGCGTGTGGCTCCTCTTGGGAGGCACGCTGTGAACGCCGCCTTACTTCTGCGGTATTCATGCCAAAACAGCCTGATTCTCATCATGGGAAACCGCAGAGCAACCTGATCCGAGGGACCCTCTACAAGATCCGTACACCACGTGCTTATCAGGTTTGCATGCTTCTGAAATGTCAAGGGCACAAAGGTCTAAAGAGCCACCACAAACAAATACAGTCAGCTACCTGGGTTGAACCCTGGATCAGAAAACATTCTCTTAAGGGCAGTGTGAAGTTTTCTCTGAACTTGGCTTCCCTCTCTCCCCTCTGGCACAGCTCCTGTTTGAGACCCATAACTCCGTATCTGTAACCCTCCTTGGTCCTGTGTCTCAGGCTGCCCCTCCACCCCTCTGCGCTCCACCTCAGCACACACCAGATCCTGGCATTTCTTTGCCTACAATTCTTGAGTGGCTTCTCCAGCCTTTAGGATGAATCTCAAGCTCTGTAATGCAGCACACACAACCCTCACAATCCTACCCACCTCTCCGGGCTTTGCTTTCCCCATTACCACCTGTCAAAAACTGGAGGGTCGAAGGTTTTATTCTGCTTGCAAGCTAACGAATAAATCCACCACCGTTTCACAGGCACTGGCAGAAGACGCGAGACTCCTGGGTCAGAGACAAAGGAGAGCTCAACACTCACACGGGAGCTACAGCAAGATGAGGCTCATTTTCCAGGCTCAGTCGCCTGGGAGGTCTGCACCTGACAACTGTCCAGCATGATGGCTGAGGGACAAGAAGCTTAGGAAACCTGTTTTTTAAAGGGGCACTTAGAAAACCTGCCCAACATGTGCACCTGGAGAATACACTGTCTTTATTATACTGGCAATAACCAAATCTACTCTGTCTTGAGGGAACATTATCTCTATCTTCCAAGACTCCTTGCTTGTAAATTCATTGAAAACAAAGTCTAGGAGGACAGCTGTCAGCCCCTCTGCTCACAGGCATGCTGAAACATGAAAGAGTGGGTCCGGGGAGAGAAAGATTGTGGAGAACCGTTTCCCAGCACCAGCCCTCAAACACCAGCCGCTACTCTTCCGATTCTGTTGCTGTACCGTGTGCTCTTGCCTGGTTTGGGGATTCTGTTCCCTGCAGCGGGAAGCTGTCCTCAGCCCTAAAACACACGCTATTCTTGCACAACACACACACAATGCACACACTCTCCTTGTCTGGCTAACCCCAGCCTTTCGAGAATTAGAGCCTCAGGCAGGCCTTTGCTGGCAGCCACCTTGGCCCCCACACCGAGATTATTTGTCCCCCTATGCTCCACAACACCAGGGTACTTTCTCATAGCACTTGCTTTGCACCATCTTAATACCTGTTTACATGTCTGCCTCCTCCTCAATCCCACTGAAGACAAAGTTCTGCCTCTGATCCCCTGTGACAGACCCACTAAAGGGATCATTAAGCACTTGTGGAAAGAACAAATCTATCAGTGAGTAGACTATTGCATAAAGCTGCGAATAGTTTCTTCCTTGGCTTGAGGAGGCTGTGAAAATAATGAGGCTGGGAGGCTTGCATGGGGCTTGCTGGTGAGGGTTCCTAGGCATAGCCACATCCCAGGGAGGCTGCCCTGTATGTGGAGGGAGTCTCTGAGAACCCTTCTTCATTACACGGACTGGAGGTGGGCAGCTCCCCAGCCCCCCAGGGGAAGGCTAGCCCCAGCCACAGAGTCCCAGCGCTGGTGCTTCCAGCCGAGATGCCTGGTGCGCTAATGATCCAGCGACACAAGTCAGATCTATCTTTAGCAGATCTATGCCCTGCAGAGAACACCGTCTTCTTAACTATGAATTTAAACTGACTGAGACTGGATTATTGTGGCCTCACCTACGATGTTATTTTAGACTAAGCCAAGTGGTTTTCAACCGGGGCAATTTTGCCCCTCAAGGGACATTTGGCAATGGCTGGAGGCATTTTGGGCAGCACAACCAGGGGATGCTGTTGGCATCTAGCAGTGGAGGCCAGGAATGCTTGAAACACGCCTCGGTGCACAGGACACCCCACAACAAGAAATCTCACGTTCCAAAAGGCCGCAGGTCAAAGGTCCAGAGGCCCGGTGGGGCCCACTGGCCATGCGCAAGAACCAGCTAACGCTGACAGAGCAGGTTTCCTTGGAGGAACGGGACGCTCTCACTGGCAGGCATCTTGAGCCAGAAAGGAGAGTGGGGCCTGGCTCTGGGGAGAGAAGACAGTGGGGACGGGGACTCCAGCCTACCAGAGTCGTTGATCCTACACCAGGATGGCGCCGTCCCACGCTGTCTGAGAAGGCGGGATATGATCGGCACCCTCAGGGGCACTGATAACAGACACCCCAGATTTCCCTTTGAGGTTGTCACCGCCTTGTGCTATCTTGGACTCTCAATCAGATTTTGTTACACTCCAAAGCCTAGTGAGGGTGGGGTCTTCTTGCTTTGATAAAGATACCATTTCATGAGCACTTACTGTGTGCTTGGTGTGCATATTCCTTTGCTAGAAGCTGGCCAACTTCTCCGACAGAAGACCTGAAGTCTTTCAGAGCTGAAAGTTGTGCAGTGTGTGTCACTGCCCAACTCGCCACCGAGAACATGCAAACCATGAGCGCAGCTGTGCTCCAGTGTAACTTTATTTCCAAGAACAGCAGTGGGCTGGATTTGGCCGCGGGCCTCAGTTACTTCCCTTGGCGTGATAACCCTATGGCACAGGTTACCACGCTCTCGTTTAATAGATAACTGGGCCCGGGAAGACTGGATAACAAAGCCACGTCAGTCAGGCGCCCGGCTGAGCTGTCCAAGCCGTGAGCGCTCTGGTCTGCACCGCGGCAGCCTCTCAACGCACCAGGGAGTGTCCGCCGCTGGGCAGCGGGCAGGAGGTCAGGAGAGGCGAGCAACAGATAGGGCCTGAGCGATGGGCCAGAGCTGGAAAGAAGCGGCCATGGCGGGACTGTGGCTCTGTAAGCATCCCCTTAAACTGGCCCTGGGCAGTCTGGAAGTAAGGAACACAGGGGATCTGATAAAGACCTGATCTTTCTGCATTTCCCCAGGATGGAATGCGAAGTGAAGGCAGACCGACCTCTGAAAGACGGCCCCGTCCAGGCTGTCCTGACGCTGACCCAGTGCCGATCCAACAGCTTTCACAATGAGGAAGTCCTTTGTGCCAGCTAACCTGTAACACTCTTGCTGTTACGGAAAGCTACTCGCTTAGTTCGGCCTTATGGTGAAAAAACCGTCTTTTTGATGGATTTTTCACACTTGAAGTCCTTCATCCAGGCTACATCTAGCTGCCTCTTCTCCGGAGAGGTATGAAAGCCAGCAGGAAGGTCGAGGCTTCGGAACCGCCCCGTCACGCCATCACTCACAGCCCTGCTGCCGAGCCGCTGTGAGACCCGGCCCACACTCCTGATTCTGCAGCTTCACACACAAATGGAGGCAGTGCGGCTATGTCACAGGGTACGTGTGAGGAACCAAGGTCACAGCGAAGAGCGGTGTTGGCCAAGGTGGGTGCTCCCCTCCCGCCCCCAGCCTCTCTGAGCTGGACAGTCTCTGTTCTTCCCTTGTCTTCCCCTTGGGGCTGGTTCCCAACTTCTACAGCAAGCCGTGTTCTCCCTTTTACTTCACTGGAAACAAATCTGGGCTCTAGGGAGAGCCCACGGTGATGCGGCCTTCCATTTCAGACTGGTTGGCCTCTGAAATCCTGCCAGCCCAGACAAGTGCCACCTTCTCCCTGGTGCCTTCTCTGAATCTCAGAGCCCAAAACAGAGAAATAAACTACTTTTTCCTCCTTTCCCAACAGCTGCCTGCTAAGCACCTCCCTTGTACCAGGCCCCATGCACCTGCCTGGGCAGCTGTGGGAACAGAGACAACCACACACTGCCTGGGCGCCTCTCAGAGGCCCTGGAGCATTGCTAAGCACCAGCTCGAAACTACCACTGAAGGGAAACATTTTCCAGCAGCCATCTGACATGTTCACTAGGCAGGCATTGGTATTAACCCCAAAGCACCCCTCCTTCCTGGGGCAGTCATGTGAAAGTATGGTGTTCTGGTCCTGTGGTTCTCCACGAATAAATTCTTTATCCAGACATCCCTGCACACGCAGAGGGCCTCCCTACTTCACCCTTGGTGAAGGAAACGTTACACTCAAAGCTTTATCCCCAGTGGTGGCTCACCGGCCATGGACGCACACACCTGCACTCCCAGCACTCTGGGAAGCTGAGGCAGGAGGATTACAACTATGAGCTCAGCCAGAGCAGCTTAGCAAGATTCTTTCTCAAAATAAAAAATAGTGGAAGAGCAGGGGATATACCGCCGTGCGAAGGGCCTGTGCTCAACTCCCAGTACCACAGAATAAACAAACAGAAAGACTGGAGACTCTCAGGATGCAGAAACACACTATGTATAACTCGGGAACAAGATGAGAGGCTCTGAGCTAACTGCAGGAAGGAGGTGAGCGTGTAGGGCAGAGACGTGGCTAAGAATTCAGCTCAGCCGTGAACACAGACGCTTCCCTCCCACCCGTCCTGCAGCTGGCTCTGCTCCGGCCTCCACTCCGGGCTCCCCTTCCAGTGAGTCCTGTCCCCTCCAGCCACCTCACGCCTGCTGCTGCCCATCTGGTCCTAGGGACCCCGCGGGGGAACCCTGACGTCTCCCCAAGCTGTGCACTGCCAGCTCTGATTTTCCTCCTGGCGACCTCGTGGTCTTCGGTCCATGTTTCCCACGAGTGTGCTACAAGGACCTCAAGGGGCATTAGGTGTATTGTGCTTCTCAGCCACCAAGGAAAAGCGAGTTAATTGGGTATAATCTGTCTCTGACAAATCTACATGTTTACTTTTTCTTAGAATCCCTTTATTTCCTCAGCAGCCTGATGTGTCATGTAGGAGGCAGATGCCTGGCATATAAGAAGCACGGCCAAAGGACTGAGGAAGCGCATCAGGTGGATATCAGGAGACCAAGTTCTGGGCCTGGGCCTGATACCAGATCCACGCCCCTTGATGGCTCTGTCTGTAATAGGGTCAGGGCCTGGCTCTACGTCCCCTCCCAGGGCCTCCTGGGTAATAATGGCAGTCGGGTGCCCCCTGACTACCCTGCGAACCCAGCCAGTGCTCTCACTCCCAGGCGGGCTGCACCAGCCAATCAGCGCTGAGCGTCTAAGATTCCGGCTGAACTGTACCCGCGAGTCACGATCCCGCCCCCACCTCCTGCCCCGACCTTGCTGCAGAGCCTCGCCTTCCCGACATCCCTCGCGTCTCCCCTCCTCCAGCGTTTCCGCTCAGTCCACTCCCCACCGCCAGGGGAGGGCGCTGCTACGGGATACCCTCTCATCCCCTCTGTTTTCTACCGACAACCTCAAGCTCTGGCCCTGGCCTCTCTCCAAGCCCCTTCCTTCCTCATCGAGGGCCTCGGTGAGCCCAGAACACACCAGCCTCTTGCCGGGGGAGGCACTGCGTGGTTGTCTCTTTGTCCCCAGTGCCCTTTCACCCCTGCCCTCTGCCTGGCGAGCTCATGCGTGTCCTTCAGGACCCAGCTTGGACACCTGCTCCTCCAGGAGCCATCTCTGCTGCTTTCCCAAGACACTGAGTGAGGCTCTGCTCACCTGCTGTCGCCCGAGAATCTCAGTCCTATAATGGCAGGGACCAGGCCTTTTCACCAGTTCCCTGGCACCAGTGCTTGTCTCTGTCCTTGGTCCAATGTTTGGTACCTAAAAGTACCTTATTGGTGGAATGAATATGAGCCAATTATCTCAGGTGAATTTAAAACTGGTTTTAACATCTGTCATTGATTAAAATAGCAACTGGGAGAATTTTAACTGTTTCATATATTCGTCTATCAAAAACAAATAGCCTGCTGAGTGAAGTGACACATGCATGTAATCCCAGCACTCAGGAGGCTGAGGCAGGAGGATCACTGTGAATTCGAGGCCAGCCTGGCCTACTTAGAGTTCAAAGCTAGTCTGAACTACATAGCGAGACCCTGACTCAAAAACAAACAAAAACTCCAAAACACCAAAAACCAAATAGCCTGTTAAAAGCAAAGAATTTTGCTAGCATCCTAATTTATTAAAAACAAACAAAAGTAGACAATTATTCGAGTTGGAGCTACCAATTTCTGTCCGGACCTTCTGGTAGCCAAAGCTGAAAGGGAAAATGCACAACTGCCTCAGACTTGCTACAGAACATCTCGGGTCTGCAACTTTGGGGGTCAGCTTTTCTCCTTTCTCCACTTCTCTGGAAGGTCCCAGGAGAGGGAGAGCCAGGCAGGAGCCTTGGGCAAAAGCAACAGACCCGGGGGCTGGGGATTTAGCTCAGCGGCAAAGCGCCTGCCTGGCAAGCGCAAGGTCGTGAGTTCGGTTCCTGGTACCGGAGAAAAACCAAAAACCATTAAAAAAAAAAAAAAAAGCAACAGACCCGGTCCGCTAACATCACTCTCTCCCTGACCATGACTTTGCTGGGCACCGTGTCCAGGAGGAGGGGACCGTGTGCGCCTTCTGCACTGAGTCTGCACGCGTCCTTACTGTAGCCAGAGGAGTCTCCTTCCTGACACCCAGAGGTCGTGCAGTTTCTCTGGTCACATGTTCAGGATTGCAAAATCTTTCAAAAAGGTAAGGCAAGACAAATGAACCATGTTATTTAGAGTTGTACCAGCTCTGAGTCAACCTTTATCGGCACAAGGAGGTGGCAGCTAGTTCCCTTCCTTCCTGGTTGGCATACTCGAATGCTTGCTAGGTGATTGGAAAGTTTTGCTTCTTAAAGGGATACAGGATGCCTTGGTTCACGAACGTTTTTGCTTGGGAACAATCTGGCTCATGAACAGAAGCATTTGGCAAAATTTTGTTTCTGTTTGCAATCTCTGCATCGGGTGATAAACACGACTGCAGCCGTCTTTTCCAAAATCACAGAACAAATTAAGTTCATGACCAAAGTACCAGTGAACTTTTGTAAACTATAACAATAGCGCCTAAATCACCTTGTTATAAATACTTGTACTGCTGGCCCAGCACCACCAAGAAGCACATATGAGCTATGAACTAACTAAAAAGTGGGAAAAGCTATAGTGCAAGATCATTCCTGGGTGCCATCGGACAGGGTGCGCTGCAAGCATTATTTTTACATCTTTTTGCCTTACTGTTTTCACCATTTAGTTGTTGAAATTAATCATTTCATCCCTTTTCTATGTGCTCTTAGCATCCAACACAGTCCTTATTATTTGTCGTACAACGACCACATTTTATAGCTTCCAGATGCCATTGATTATAAAACCTATCCCAGTTTTAGAGATGCTAAAATGTGGGGAAAGTGTGCGTTTTAGAACCAATAAAATCAGGTGTCTGACGGAGACAGTGCAGTCTCTCCCAGCTGGGTGATTCTCCTGGAAGCCTGGCTGGGGCTCCCTCTGGCTCCACAGTGGTGCCTGCACCTGTACCCCTGGGGTGACCGACAGAGGAAAACAGACCAAACTGCCAAGACAGCCTCTCAGCGAGGGCCCGCATGGGAGTAGGCGCATGCGTGCAGCTGAGAGCCCCAGTAGCCTGCTCCTGAGTTTCTTCTCAGGCACAGGCCTCCATTCCTGAACCCCAGCCCCCAGCTCAGCCCCTCAGCCTGGACAGGGGAGCTCAGCCTCAGGGCCTGGTAGCCATGGCTGTGGAGCCACAAGGCACCGGGAAATTATATCCGCTTCCCCCTGCTCTAGGACACAGCTAGAAAGAATATTCTGGCCCATGGGGCTCTTGGGATAAGAGCTTATTATAGAGCCTTTCTGTTTTGTTTAGTCCTTTTCTTCCCCAGAAAGGAATTGAGCTTCTTCTGGTTGGAACAGGGGAGAAGATGTCCCTGCATTTTGAGACAGCTAAGCCTCTCAACCTTCGAGAAAGACAAGAGCCTCTCTGCATATTTTTCAGAATATAAAAGGAATATCTACAGGCTGTCAAAACTCCCAGTTCAGAAAAGTGTGAGGAAGCCGAGCCTTTCCTAATAATAACAGGAGCTCCAAGGGTACTCCAGGCTCCCCGAGGCATTTCCCACAGATTAGCTAATTTAGACAGCACTAAAGAGCTCTGGGTTTAAAGGCACGGAAAATGGCGATTAGGGTTATGTCCACCTCTGCCTGTGGATTACCCTGTTTGATTCCTACCCCTGTGGAAGCCAGATGCTTTTCCTACTTGAGCCAGTGGCAGGGCCCACTCACAGACCTGCGGCCAGTAGGTAGCCCGAGGGCGGGGCTAGAGATTGACATTTCTAACAACCACACATGGAACCACCGGGGATGCTGATAGTGCTAACCCGGGACTACACTTTCAGAACCGGGGAAGCAGATCCTACTACTTACATTTTGCAGCTGAGGGACTGAGGCTCAGCGAGGTCAAGTTACTTTCCGTAGATGTCCAGCCAGGACACCTTCTAGTTCGCCTGGTCCTACAGTGTCTACACTCCCACTTCCCCTCCAGGCTTTCTGCCTCCCTCCCCCATGACAGGCCTCACTTCTGTGATAATCAGGATGGGCCCTGGGCTAGGATCTCCTCTTCTCCTTGGAGGCTTTCTGCCTCCCTCCCCTCCCCCACTCCCCATGTACTACACCGTCTTTAGGATTAGTACTCGCACCCATAGCCTTTGTTTAGTACTTAGCTGGCAAGGCCACTGAGAATAGTAACAGGCAGGCGTTTTGCCAGCTACGGGCCAAGATCCGCCAGGATACACACAAACCTCAATTCTGCAACTCAGGAAAGATGAGAAATAATTACTAGTGGGCAGACCACAGCAAACAGACCCTGCATGTCACAACTTCAGTTAGAAGTAAGGGAACTGTAGCCCAGATTTAATATGTGATCTGGGGGAGGATTGCTGGCCTCCGGGGAAATCCTTGCAGCGAGGATGAGGACTCGGCCCCTGGGATGAAGCATGTGCCTAGCCTTTTTCTGGTTGGAATAGGGGAGAAGACGCCGGTGCATTTTGAGATGGCTAAGCCTCTCAACCTTTGAGAAAGACAAGAGCCCGTCTGCATTGGATCAGCCCTTTAACTGCATTTGCTCCCTTTGGCACTAAGGCGTGCTCTGTATCCTGCGGTCTGGCACGAGGTCGCTTGGTGCCTTTGTCCCTGCCGAAGGGTAGGAACTAGAGTTTACCTCCCAGTCGCTTCTGTTCTTGTCTACTTCTCAGAGCCTGGGAAGGGGTTCAGGAGTGTCCAGAGCCCCAGGGCAAGTGCATCGGCAGTGACTTCATAGTCTAGCAGTTGGAGGCAGGTAGAGGTCAGGGGGGCCAGAGGACCTGCAAGACCTGAGGACATGAACATGAGGTTTGGCCTAGGGGAGAATTTCATCCTGATTTCCAAAGGAAATTCTTTTTTTTGAGATAAGGGCCCACTATGCCATTCCTGCTGGACTTACACTCACTGGGTAGCCCAGGCTGGCCTCAAACTCATAGCGATCCTCCTGCCTCACCATCCCGAGTGCTGGGATTACAGGCGTGTACCCCCACACCCAGCTACGAAATTCTTTAGAACCTAGAATCCACTGTCTGGGAGAAGAGTGGAGCGGGGACAGACAGCAGCATGAGGAGTTCATGGCAGTGCCTGGGTCACACTGAGCCCTGCCAGAGCCGAGAGCCATCCAGCCATGGCTGCGATGCTGGGCAGGAGGACTGTTAGTGGCCGCAGACAGGCCCTGACCCCTCCAGGCCCAGCTCCTAGGGTTCGCTGTGGCTTTGGGGAGAGGTGGGACTCACCATCCCTGCAGGAAGGGCCCCAGCATCCATGTCCCCTTGCTGTCCCCTTGCCTGTGGGGCTTGTCTTACTTGTGCCGAGTCTCTAGTGCCAAGTGGCATTTGTCACATCCTGCCAGCACAAGCCTGGCAGGAATCGCGCACCATCTCTGTGCTCGTCGATTGCCCTACAGTTTCACACTAGGTTTTCCTGCTCTTTTCTCGGGGAAAGACTAGAAAAAAATTATCAGGGTAAAGATGACTGTCCCAGCCAGCTGGAACTTTCTAACTGTTCTTGAATCCAGTGCACATATAAATAAGTGCAGGCAACATAATCCAACAGCTTGCTGAGTGTTCACAAAGGGAACGCAGTGCCCACATCAAGGAACTGATCCCGTGAGCAGTACCCTCGAGCCACCTTCCAGTCGCCCCACCGCCACCACCACAAAGGGCTCAGATCCACCTTAGCAGGCTGGAGTTGTCCCAGCTCACATCTGCAGCACAGACTGCAGCCTCATTTCCAGTTCTGAGCAGGTGGGGCTACCAGGGGCTCAGCGGACCGACTTGGCCCTGGCTTTGGTGGGAGGGCCCAGGCTTCGTCACCCCTTCCTCCCTCTCTTGTGATCACGATGGAGCCTCGGCTCCCTAAGCCCAGCAAGCATCCGCCTCCCCAGGAGGGGCACCGGGGTGGTGCTGGTCTTGCTGCCAGATGGGCCTCCTCTGCCTGAGCTGCCCACGCTGTCGGATCGTGACTCACTGCTGGGGTGGGGGCAGAACTCCCTTTCCACGTACTTTCAAGGTCCCACCAGCGGGGAGCCAGGGGCAGGATGACTCAGCAATGTCTACGTGCAGAGAGGCTGTGATCTGCACCCTGGGAAAACCAGCACGTGGCATGTGCTTGGACTTGCCCCGTTCAGCACCCCTCTCACTGCCTGGAAACCGCTTCTCCCGGCACCTAAGCGGGGCCCTCTGCGTACCTGTGTGACTCGGAGCACAGGTGCCGGCTGCCAGCCTGAGCGCATCTGCCTCCTGAGCTGTCCTCCCTCTTTCGTCCTCTGCTCGTCCCCACCACGTGCGCCCATTTCACTAATGAAGCCAGACTTGCCTTGGTGCTTACACCTTGCATGTCCATGCATCATTAAACACTGCCCTCTGGATCCTCAGCAAAATGCCGCTGTAATTGTACAAGAGGTGGGAGGGCAGAGAGCCGGCCGGGGTTAGTGGTCAGGAGAAAATGCTCTGGATCAGGCCCTGTGGTGCAGAGAAGCCCTCAAGGGAGAACACTGCATCCACACGGCCAGTGCAGATTTTCCTCTGCTCTTTGACCTAGTGACTGTGCTTCCTACAGCCTCCTCATTGTCACAGAGAGGTAGGGTGCTCTGCAGAGGTCTGATGGTGGTTCCATTGTTCCTGAGAAGCCAGCAGAAGAGATGGGGCACGTTCCTCTGACTCTCAGACTAGAGCCATCTTGGGAGGCCTCTGGTGGGTGGCCTTCTTACAGATGTGATAACAAAACTCGGGGACCAGACATACAGTTCAGCGGAAGAGCATCTGCCTAGCATGGTTGGAAGCCTGGTTTTTGTACCCATCCCCCATCAATAAATCACTTGGAGACTGTTAAAAATACAGGTTTTTCAGGCTCCCTCTTTCCTCCAGGTCTAGGCCCCCAAATCTGCATTTTTGCAAAGCATTTCAGGTAATTCTGACGTCAGCGACCCCAGGCCATAGTTTGGGGAACGCTAATCTAGAGGCCCCCCTCCCCAGTTACTGAGAATCGTACAGAGTCTGGCCCAGAATCAAGTCCACCTTCTTTCCACCCATGCCACCCACCCAGCCCATGCGCACACCTGTACACAGCCTGCCCAGGGGCCCCGTGCACAGCTCTCTTGCTGCTTCCTTTGCCGGGCGTCTCACCCTTCCCTCTTCCTGCCATCCCTGTGCACTGGAGGTGAAGACCCGGAACCCGGTTCCTGCAAAGCGCCAGCAGCTCCCTCCCACCTGTCCCCTCCCACCACTACCAAGTCCGCTCTTCCGGAAACACAGATTTGCTCCCTGCCCAGGCCTGCGCTCCTGGCTGCCCCTGGACTGTTTGAAGCAACCTCTTTCTGACCTGGGTACGCATTACTCTCCGCGCAAGGCTCTCCCTGCCCTTCCCTCTGCCCCTGCTCACGGGATGCCACCGGAACTTCCCCTCCCCTCACAGAAGGCCAGGTGAAAGCCCTTTCCTCTAGGAAGTGCTCTAGCCCTGGCCTTCTCCCCCTCTGAGCAATTAGAGCACAGCGTCCTTTATTTATATCGGTTATTATTACCTGCTGTATTGTTTAGAATTGTGAACTTTAGTAATTCCCAGCCATGGGACACAATGTGCCTTTCTGATTACCTACCTGCTTAGCCAGGTGCCTTGCACATAAAAGGTGCCTAAGGGACATTAGTTATACTGGAGCTATGCAGTGCTAGAGCTCAGCAGTGGGATCTTGGCCTGGAGGTAGCCGGTTGTTTGGTTCAGTGGCTTTTCTGTGCCTTAATTCTGCCCCTATCCAAACGTTAGCCACCTTCCTGCACCTGCCAGAGGTCAGGTACCGGGCTTCCTATCCCTACGCTAGCCAGTGATAACACTGACAATCCTCTGCAGCAGTGCAGCTGGGCCGACTTCTGCAGCCTGGTTTGCAGGCCTCCCAGAGTGGCTGCAGCAGTCATGGTTACGCCCACAGAAACCCCGGAGCACACTTGACATGCCTCTCTCTCTGCGTAAGACAAGCACCCCTCTTTCCCCAAGGACTGACCACCACCGCTGCATGCACAGCTTGCTTCCGGCTGTGGTAACAAGAACTTCATTCTAGATACAGTAGCAGCTTAAGAGCCAGAGCCAGAGCCAAACTCTCAGAAAGGAGCCCTTTATTCTTTGTTTACTGTTGGGGAAATGTCTTGCACAGAGGAAAGGTTCTCTCCTGCCCAGGGCCCCTGCAGCCTGGAGGTACCTGGAGGGCCGGCAGAAATCCGCGCAGGAATCTGGAACCTTAACCTTGTGGACCAGTTCAAGCGCACAGAGCAGGCTGATCCGCTTGGGGAATGAGTAGGCGGCCCTCATGTGGAACCCTCCTTTCCAGACGCCTTTGTCCCCTCTCTCAAGGATACCAGCACAGCTTTGCTGAACCCCGAAGACATGAGGATTTGGGGTTTCTCATCTCACACTGCCATCACAAAAGAGTAGGTTTAAAAATCTCTACTTACCAATATAGGTCCACTTGGTGCCTACAAAGAATAAAACAAAGCGAGTTAGTACAACTGAACTGAAGGTGTCAGGGAAGACACTACAGCTTTGACGTCAAAGTAGCTGAGATGAGAAGAGGGTTGTGCCCAGAAATTAAAATTTCTGAGTCGCTTCCTCGCACCCCGGCTCCCCGCTTCCTGAGACCCCTTGTCTCTCCGCTGACTGTGCGTTCTTCCCAGTAGGGCCACCCTCGGGGGTGTTTATGCCTTCCCCGCTTTGCCTCACACACACGGACAGTCTGGGAACTCTGTTCCACATCTATCCTGGAGCGCATTCGCGTCAGTACACAGGGCCGGTGCTGGGCTCCGGAGGAAGCCACGGTCCTCCCCGGAGTCAGGATCCCCGGGGGGCGGGCATGCGGAGGAAGCGTTCTGCCAGGAACGCAGGGAAGTCACCTCTACCTCCACTCCACCCTTGTACCACACAGGCCCTTTGTCTTTCATCAAAAGTGTATTTTTCACGCTGCCTGCCCTCGCTCGTCTTCTCCTCAAGGAGCCGGAGACCGGGGCTGAGATACATCTCCCTGTGGGTCTAGCGGACACATCTGAAGCGAAGCAATGCCTAAGCCCCTCTCCCATGGGGTCTCCCAGTGCCTATGTGGGTGGGAGGCAAAGAGGGGAGGCGAAGAAACTCAGATTCCTTTACAGTGAACTTAACTGGCGGGCAACCTGCTCACTTATCCCAGGGGGGCATTTCCTGTTCAAGCCAATGGTGGTTTTTAAAAACTCAGACGGGACTTTGCTTTCTTTGTTTTTTAAACTGGTTTAATCTCACTTTGTTGTTGTTGTTATCTCGTTTTATTTCTTTGCTTCTGTGTTTTAATTCTATTTGCCGTTTTCAAATTTAAAACTGGTCATTGCAATGGGGAATTTAAGGGCTGGGGATATAGCTCAGTGGCACACGTGCCTGCCTGGCAAGCACGAGGTCCTGAGTTCGATTTCTAGTACCAAAAGACAAAATGATTCTAAAACTGGTAATTTAAGACTGGTAAAATTACCAAATTTAAATTCGGTAATTTTGATCAAAGGATGGCTCTATAAGACTTTTAAACAAATATCAACCCCCTAATAGGCCCTAGCCACTTATCTGCTCCCTGGGGCAACGACTGTGAATTCTTTTAAAATGATGCCATGTTTTCTGCATACAGTGAACTCTTGACTCAGTAACTCAATTCGTACCTGAGGGCTGGTTGTAACTCAGGTTGGCAACTGAAGACTCAGGCTTCAGCCTTTGAAGTCTTTCCCGTGTACAGGCAGACCTCAGTGTCCCTGGAGAGATACCAGCCCAGGATTTCTCACTTAACGCCCTACAGGACAGGATGTGGTAACGCTCCTTCCAGAACTCTCTAAGGGTTAAATCTGTGTCTGAGACCATCTAGAAGCACAAGAGGCTGGCATTTGGGTCATAACTCAAGACTCCGGTTGTAAGTTAAAAGTACAATTCTGGTCATAACCCAAGTTGTTTGTGTGTCAGGCTGGTCATAACTCAAGGGTCCATGGTTCTCAAAAACATTCTTATGTTGTTCTATGTGGTCTCTTAGGGTTTAGCATTTTTTCATTGGCATCTCATTCTGGGAGAGAATTTAGTTCTCTCTCATATATCTGCAGCCTATCCCCTCTTGTTATAGGTGAGGAAATTAAAGGCCACTAATGTGTAGTGACTTGCCCAAGATCACTCATGGGTGAAGAGTCTCAGCATATTTGACATTAGTTCCCATGAGCCTTTGAGTCTATGTCTCAATCTTTGGAGCAGCAGGCAGTGGAGTCCAAACCCTCTGGAGTATCTCATGAAATGTCCCATAAAAATGGCCACAATATTAGACACAAAAAACTTCATCTATCCCAAATCTCAGAAAGTCCACAGACCACCCAGAAACCTGGGGTAGACCCTACAGGAGTTACCTTCCCTGAAGCATCAATTAAATAAAAACATTCAGAACCAGGAGAAAACAAAACTGACACATGTTCACCGAGTTTACTACTAGTCCTCTTACTGAAATGATAGTGAAAAGGGAACGCTGCCTTGGAACCAAGCTACCGAAGACATCATACATCTTTTCTGGACGTTCTCCTTTACTATTCCGGTTGAAGGTTCACTGCTGAAATACAATCATGGATTTCTGAGACCTGGGAAGCCCAATCATTGCTGCTCTGCCAGGCAGAGTCCTCAGACACCCAGGATATAAAATTCTCACAGTGAGGGGAATTCATCTTCACTCGTCCCCAGGGAGATCCTGAGGCCACCGGAACACACCTGAGCCATCTCGGCCTCCTGGAGGAGACAATGCCCCTGGCCCAGATAACAGGAAGCCCCATTGTACATCTTCTGCTGTGGTCTCCAAAGCTCCCTAAGCTGAGGCTCCCCCCAGATTTACGGCTCTTGACTTCAGATGAGGCATCAGCACAACCCTTTGGAAAGCTCAACGATGAATGTTACAGAGGGCACATCAAGGACTGTATGGCCTCAGGGGTGACAGGAGTGGAGACTTACAGAGCAGCAGCATTCCCTGTCCTTTTAAAGCAAGGCTTCATGGTCTCGGGACTTGGTACTTTGGGTATAAACAGAAATGTCTGGCAGGGCTTAGGGGCTATAAGGCTGGGAGAAGCAGCACCGTAAAAAGGCGAGGATGGTGGTGAGTCATGAGGGATCATCTGTGAAGATCAGGGTCCACCTTGACTCCTCCTGGGTTTCATTCTAACCTCGGGAAGACGGGCGAGAAGTGTGCACATGCGCACTCAGCTACCCCCGCAAAGTCATGCGCACTCGGCTACCTACGCAGAAGTGCATTTGCCTAACTCGGGAATGGCACCTCCTGGCTCCCCACCTCTAGCTTTAGGGCCAGGAGTGTTAAGAAGATTAAACTAACCCCACCTCGAAGGCCATGCCAAGGTTCAGTGGTGTCCTGAGGGAGCAAGCCCTCCCCAAGGGAGAATCATTTCCTTCCCGAAAAAGGTCTTATGCTCCTTCTGGAAGAGGTATCTCGATGCCTGTTTGAACCTGCAGACCCAACTAGCACTGAGAACAGAGGTGCCCCGGAGGGATCCCATCAGCAAATGGTATTTATCAAGAGCCAGGCCTGTTCAGGGCCCTGCCTGCTTCCTGTCCTGGGAGCTAGAACCTTCTATGGTAACAGTCACCTGGGCAACTCAATACCGCAGAGCCAGAAGTCACTGGGATGCCCACAGCCACAGCAACCAGGTGTCCCAGGGTTTTCTTCAGAAGACCCCTGGCATCCCCACATCATGCTCTTCCCTCTCCTGACCCCGGGTGTTTTTCTTGGACGGTCACCAGTGCCAACCGCAGCAAGTTTCAATGTCCAGGCGGAGGGCAGAGCACACTTGGACCCCATTACTCAGCAAGGCCCTCCACCCCAGCCTTGGGTTAATATTGACACTCTATGCACCTCAGTGATTTTTGCTTTGACCTTGTCACCTGTGGCATTCAAAGAGCCCAGGATAAATAATAAATAACATGCACAATAAATAACAGAATAAAAACTTGCTGGGCATGGTGGTGTACACCCACAGTCCCAGCCCTCGGGAGGCTGAGGCAGGATAGTGAGTTAGAGTCCTGGTCTCAAAGAAGCATAATAAATACAGTAAATTAAAAGGGCTGGGGAGTAGCTCAGTGGTAGAGTGCTGCCCAGCACATGCAAGGTCCTGGGCTCAATCCCCAGTACAGGGGGAAGAAACTTTCGCAGAACCTAGGTATTAGTGTGGGGTGGAAGGGCTTTTACTGACAGCTTCCGGTACCTCAGCCTGGAGAAGGGGGACTGAGGGAACTAGTGGAAGGAGGAGGAGAGGACAATGGGGTCAGCTGCCCCAGAGAGAGGGGAGCAATAAGTTTGCAGGAAAGACAGCCAGCAAATGGCCTTTCTCTCGTGTCGTTTTGTTGTTGTTGTTGTTTCTTTTTGAGACAGGGTCTCGCTATGCAGTTCAGGCTGGCCTTGAGCTTACTTTGTAGCTCAGGCTGGTCTGGAACTGGCAACAATCCTCCTGCCTCAGCCTCCTGAGTGCTGGGATTACAGGCGTGTGCCACCACTGCTGGCTCTCCTGTCTTGGAGCAGCTGTGGACTAAAAAGATTTCCAGTGTACCTCTGTCTCAAGCCCCCTTCCTCTAGAGAAGAATACGTGACAAAATCTGCAGTTTTAAAAATTAATTTCCACTTGAGGGAGATGATGTTATGCAGATCGCGGCCAGCAGTCGATCGGAATGAAGAGCAGCCCACAACTGCTCAAGCCCAGCTCTGCGCCCCTCCCCACGGGCACAGTGACCTCCGGGAGAGAGAGAGGCGCAGGGCTTTGATGCTGCGGAGCAGGACCAACTTCTCCCCACTAGTGTCCAGCACCCAGCGGGAGGAATGGATTCTCGGTCTCTCCAGCCCCTCTGCGTCCTTCCATGAATGTTGCCAGCCTGCCTGCGCCTGGGAACTGCAGCACCACCAGTGTCCGCACAACTTCGGGCAGACTGTGCAGGGCAGAAGCCTCCACCGGTACCCAGGATACTTTCAAAAAGTCACCTTCCCTGCACCCAGCCCATGGAAACGCAGGCAACTCTTGGCGTCCTCGTTCCGGAAGATTAACCGGGCCTTGACTTGAGCCCACCGCTCGGGTCCGCTCCCCACCTCGACCTGCCCCACTCGGCGCCCGGCGCCCCAGCCCTGCAGCTTAAGCGCCCTAATTACTGTCAGAAATAAGGTGTGCGTGTGCGTGCGCACACACGTACCTTCTGGACAGTCGAGTCCTACAGAAAAACAGTGATTAAGGGTGGGATGCGTTATCCCTTTGACGTGGAGGTGAAAGCTGCCCGCGAAGAGTTTCTCTCTCCGAGGAGACACCTCCACTGAGCGTTCCCCAGTGGGCGACTGCGAACCCTCCCCGCTAAGACTTTAAATCCTCCCTGCTTTACACGTTCCCAAACCGCATCTCCAGAGGGAGCCGAGCGCGGCCGGCAAACGCGCAAACATTTTAACATCGACAGCTGTGAGCGGAGCGCTAGAAAGACAACGTGCTTCCCGCTGCATCCAGCGGCAGCAGTCCGGGCGCTGCAAAGGGAAGCCCAGCGTCGCTCCTTTCAAGCGCGCTCCCTCGCCTGCACCGCCTCCCCCACGCCCCCAGCAGCGATCTCACTTCGGCACGCGGAGCCTCGCGGAAGCGCTCCTGCCCGGGGGTGGCTGAGCCTCAGCGCTGCTCGGAAAGCACGCGGGAACTTTACCGTTGCGGGCGGCCGCGCTGCAAGGCGGCGCCGGCAGGA